CTCAATATAAAGAAAACAAAAATCCTCACAACGGGACCAATGAGCAGCATCACAATAAATGGAGAGAAGATTGAGGTTGTCAAAGATTTCATGTTGCTTGGTTCTACAATCGATGCCAATGGAAGCAGCAGTCAGGACATTAGATGACGTGTAGCACTGGGAAGATCAACTGTGAAGGAACAGTTTCAAGTTCTGAGGAGCAAGGATGTTTCCTTGAGGACTAAGGTATGCCTGACACAAGCCATGATATTTCCAATCACCTTGTATGCATGTGAGAGCTAGATAATGAATAAGGAAGACCCAAGAAGAGTTGATGCTTTTGAGTTGAGGTGCTGGCGAAGAATGCTGAAAGTACCATGGATTGCTAAAAGAACTTACAGATCTGTCCTGGAGGAAGTGCACTCAAAATGGTCCTTGGAAGCGAGAACAGCCAGACTTTGTCTCACCTATTTTAGCCATGTTGTCAGAAGGGACCATTCCCTGGAGAAGAATGTCATGCTTGGTAGTGTGGAGGGTCAACGAAAGAGGGGAAGGCCTTCAACGAGATGGATTGACACGGTGGCTGCGATGATGGCTCAAGTATAGCAGGGATCATGGAGCTGGCACAGGATCGGGCAGTGTTTCATTCTGCTGTGATGGGGTCGCTATGAATCGGAAATGACTCCACAGCACCTAAGAAGAACACACAATATTTCTGAGACATTCTTTTCTTGTTATTTTCTCTTAAACTGATAACGAATTACTTTAAAATAATGAATTAATTTTAAATTCAAGTATACTGGAAGGAGCCCTGGTGGCACGATGGTTAATTAATTGACCACTAACTGAAAAGTTTGGCTATTGGAACCCACCAGTGACCCAGCAGAAGAAAAGACCTGGAAATCTGCTTTCCTAAAGATTACAACCTTCAAAACAGCCTGGTATTGGTACAACAATAGACACATGGGCAAGTGGAGTAGAGTTAAGAGTCCAGAAATAGATCCATTCACCTATGGACAGCTGATCTTTAACAAAGGGACAGAACTCATGTGATGGGGAAGAGATAATGTCTTCAACAAATGATGCTTACAAAAAAGATATCCATTTGCAGGAAAGTGAAACAAGAGCCACACTTCACACCATACACCAAAACAAACTTAAGGTGGATCAAAGACCTAAATGTAAACCCCAAAACTATGTTGTTGTTGTTGTTGTTGTTGTTGTTAGGTGCCAGCAAATGATCTCTGATTCATAGCAACCCTATGCACAGCCGAACGAAACACTGTCTGGTCCTGTGCCAGCCTCATGATCCTGCTGTACCTGAGTCCATTGTTGCAACCACTGTGTCAATCCATCTTTTGAGGGCCTTCTTCTTTTTCGTTGATCCTCCACTGTATCAAGCATGATATCCTTCTCTAGGGAATTGGTCCTTCCAACAACATAACCAAAGTAGGTAAGACAAAGTCTGGCCATTCTGGCTGCATTTCTTCCAGGACAGATTTTTTAGTCCTTTTAGCAGTCCATGATATTCTTGAAGTTCATCAAATATAAAATAAGGGCAAACTTAGGGGCCTTAATTTATGGTATAAATAGACTATCAAGCATAATCCCAAATGCATAAACAACAGAAGAGAAACAGATGACTTAGACCTTCTAAAAATTTAATTCTTATGTGCATCGAAAGGCTTCTCCAAAAGAATAAAAGGAGAACCTACAGATTGGGAAAAAATATTTGGCAACGGTATATCTGACAAGGATCTTATCTCTAAAATTTATACAAAGCTTCAACATCTCAACATCAAAAAGACAAACAATCCAATTGAAAAATGGGGAAAGGATGTGAACAGACACTTCACCAAAGAAGTTAGCCAAGCAGCCAACAAACGTGAAGAAATGCTTGCAATCATTAGCCACTCCAAGACCTACCACCATTGAGTCAATTCCGACGCATAGAAACTCTCACTGGTTTCCATGGCTGTAACTCTTTGCAGAAGTAATTTGCATCATCATCCTCCCATGAGACAGCTGGTGGGTTTGAATTGTCAGTCTTCTGGTTAGCAGCCAAATGCCTTACCCACTATGCCACCACAGTTCCTTTCATTAACCATTGTTGTTGTTGTTGTTGTTTGCCATCGAGTCAGCCCCGACTCATAGCGACCCCTCTTTGGGTTTCCAAGGCAGTATCACTACGGAAGTAGGATTGCCCAACCTTCCTTCCGAGGAGTGGCTGGTGGGTTTGAACCTCCAGCCTTCTGGTTAGCAGTCAAGTGCCTTAGGCACTATGCTGCCAGAGCTCCTTCATTAACCATTAGAGAGACACAAATCAAAATAATGAAATATCATCTCACTCCAGCAATAACAGCAAAGTTCAACAGGTAGAAAACAACAATTACTGACAAGGGTGTGGACAAATTGGAATTTTCATACACTGCTGGTAGGACTGTAAAATGGTACAACCACTGTGGAAAAGAGTATGGTGCTTCCTTAAAAAGTTGGAAATAGAAATACCATTTGATCCAGCAATCTCATTACTAGGAATATATCCTAAAGAGGTGAGAAACGAATCGATATATGCATACACATGTTCATCACAGCACTATTTACAAAGCAAAGAGATGGAAACAACTTACTGTCCATCAACAAATGAATAGATAACCAAAGTATGGTACATACACATGATGGAGTACTATGCAACATTAAAGAATAATGAAGATTCAGTGACTCACTGCATAACATGGATCAACTTGGAAGACATTATGCTGAGTGAAATAAGTCAATCACAGAAAGACAGATATTGTATGAGTCCATTATTTTAAAAAGTCAAGGAAAGGTTTACACAGGGATGAGAGGGGAGGGGAAAAGAGAAAAGAGAGATGGATAAATAAGAGACAGGTTTGATATGGGTGAAGGGATTTAAAAATAATAATGAGAAGAAGATTACAGCCTACAAAACCCTATGGGACAGTCCTACTCAGTCCTATAGAGTCACTATGACTCAGAATTAAATCAATGACACACACACAACAACAGCAACACACACTAGACTTAAATTTTATAAGTGATGAGTGATATTATTACCTTCTTGGTATTTGATAATCTAGAATTGTAGAAAGTGAGAGAATATGGTAAGTATTTGTAGTAAAATCTATTGAAGATTTGTCTTTCTGTATACTCAGAATTAATTTAGGTAGGACTGCTTATATCACAATTAAAATGAAACACAAAATTAGAATCTGCAGACACTTTTAAAGAGAAAAGATTGAAAATGGAAATTTAGGTTCTGCTTTCAGCTCTATCATCTACTTTTGGGGTTAGGGTATATGACTTCACCTCCCTGCAATTAAATATTTTCATTTATAAAATCATGAATTTGCTTGATTGATTTTCAAGATCCTTTCCAGTTTTAAACTTCTGATGCCATTACTGGTTAAGAATCATACCTCTTTCAGAATCCATTTTCTTGGATTTATGTTTGCTTACATCTTTGTCTTACACATATGAAATAAGAACAGTGTAATATTCCAGCCCAGGCATCAGTCTATCAAAAGAGTGGAAGAAAAACTCTTGAGACTTATCACACACTTAGTTTGATACCTATTTTGAATGTATTGACTTATTTTGTCAGTTTGCAAATATATAAAATAAATATATTTATATAAAATAAATGTTGTTGTTGTTGTTGTTATGTGCCCTCAAGTCGGCCCCGACTCACAGTGACCCCTCCTTGGGTTTTCGAGGCAGTATCACTATGGAAGTAGGATTGCCCAACCTTCCTTCCGAGGAGAGGCTGGTGGGTTTGAACCGCCAGCCGTCTGGTTAGCAGGCAAGTGTCTTAGCCACTATGCTACCAGAGCTCCCATAAAATAAATAGATGCTATAAATTATAATTACATTATAACAGGATGGTAAAATATTTTGCACTTAATAGTTTTTATGTCTCCATGTTATATATTCGTTTTAAGATCATATGCTTTTTTCATATGTGAAATAAATATTTTGTCAATAACATGCAAATATAATAAATTGCACCTATTTCTAAATGAATAAGAACAGTATATTGTTCACATATCTCCAAATTGGAAGTTTATGCTGTGTTATATATTTACAAAGTGTGTATTCCAATGTGTGTATTACAGCAAGTAAATATTTACTGTATTAATTTTTTCTTTCTTTCTTTCTTTCCCATAGACTTACTGCTTTCAAATAGCTGTATTCCCTTTTTGGGTTCAACAGAAGGACTGGATTTTCAAACTCTGCTGTTAGATGAGGAGAGGGGAAGGCTGCTCCTGGGAGCCAAGGATCACATCTTCTTGCTCAGTCTGATTGACTTAAACAAAAATTTTAAGAAGGTCAGATTATTTATATATAGTTGACTGGATTCATTTACTTATATCTGTTGTCTTCTTCTGTCTTGTTAAGTGGGTCAATGTCAAATTCAGTAAGTCAATTACATGTCAAAAAGTAATATGAATTTTTATGAATTTAAGTCCTTATGCATGCTCTATGTTAAAAATGAGTATAATGCTAACTCTTTTGAAAATATGATTTAAAAAGTATCAAAAGTGAGTAAATTTATACTAGGGGATCAAACAGAAATGCAAATTTGGGGGCTAATAATTTTCAAGAATGAAGTATTTTATTAATAATTACAAAATTCATGTTTTTTTTTT